GTTGAATATTTTATTAATCATCTCACATTGTTAAAAGTAGCAAAAGAAGAATTTAATTTATTATATTAATTAGGATTAAGGATTGTCAATCTACAATATATGAGATTATTTATAATATATAGTCAGTTCATATGTATTTCTTTTGCAATCACTGGAAACTGATGGTATTTTTTTTTATCAATTATTTTCATTATTGAAATTGTAAATTAAAAATTGAATATAGATATTTTATTAGTCACCTCACATTGTTAAAAGTAGCAAAAGAAGGAAGAGTTTAATTGATTATATGGCATTTGCATAATTAGAGCTGTCAACTTACATATATGTGAAAGAATTATTATTTTTCTTAGAATTATTTATAATATATAGTCGTTCATTTGCAATCACTGAAAACTGATGATATTTTTTTTTCATGAATTATTTTCATTATTGAAATTGTAAATAAAATCCTGTTGAATATAGATATTTTATTAATCATTTTATATTGTTGAAAATAGCAAAAGAAGGAAGAGTTTAATTTATTATATGACATTTGCATAATTAGAACTGTCAACTTACATATATGAGAAAGAATTATTTATATAGTTGTTCATTTGCAATCACTGGAAACTGATGGTATTTTCTTTTATCAGTTGTTTTCATTATTAGATTAGAAATTAAAAATTATTCTGTTGAATATAGATATGGTCGATTTCTTTAGGTTGAATGCAATTAACGAGGATATTGTAAATTTAATTATTGAGTAGCTTAGTTAAGATGGAAAGACACGTTCGAAGTGTGCCATACTGTTAGGATTATAGTTAGTTCGAAGTTTGTTTTGGATTAGTTCACAGTTTACGATGCAGCTTAGCATAGAGTTTCTTTGCTCTTAAGTACGTAGTTTAAGCAAATTTTAGAGATTTAAAAGGGAATGACAAATCTTAATATCCTGTTTAGTTCCATCCTATTTCCATATTACTATGATTTCTGGGGGGAGGGGGGGGGGGGGGATCAATTATTAAAAATTTAAGAAAAAAATATCACAAAATTTAAAAGATGATTCTTCACGAGAAAAATAAAATGAAAATCAAGAGTGTTTGTTTGTCAAAACTTTATGAAAATGCAACAATAATCAAAAAAATAAAGCCTCGAACGAAAATTTTTCATTCTTGATTTCCCTCTTATTTTACTCTCAAGAATCACTCTTTAAATACTCAAATATATTCATCAATTTTTGATCAAAAAATTAAAAAACAAAATTTACCAATGAAATTTTTCCATTCTCGATTTTTATCTCATTCCTTAAAAAAAAAAAAAAATCATTCTTTAAATTCTTGGATAATTTGAAATTTTCAATATAATACCAAAAAAAAAAAATTTAATTTCCATCGTTCTCTCCCTATCCCATCTTTAAACCTTTTAATCCCACTCCAATAATTTCCACTCCATAATGAGAAAACGTAGGAAGAATTCTTTTTTTTTTTTTTTTTTTTTTTTGATCACAGATGTGACAGTGGCGCATGATACGTTATCAGAGGGACAGCAGGGTATATATAGGATAGGAGCGAGACGAGATCTCGATTAAATTCACGATACGTGGCCACGGGAGAAAAGGGAGCAAACAGAGGTGAATTTATTACGTCTGTTCTAGGCGTTTGCTGTCCACTGTCCTCCAAGCAAACGGAGAAAATGACGGTGAAACGCGCATGCCTCGATTCACGGTCCGCGTAAATCTTACACCTGCGTGAAATCTGATTTCGAAACGTGG